GATTCTCCAGCATCTGCAGTTCCTACTATCTCTGAGCCAAATGATCTGTATTGCATTTGCTGGTATTTTGAATAGTCAGTTAATTACACACTGCAGATTGGTTTGCCTCTGTGCAGCTGTAATATAAAGCTTATGGTAGTTATTGATAGGACAAAGCAGTATTTTTGTGTCCTTCTGTGGTGCGGTGCAGTGCAGAAGCAGTGTATAAATGCATTGTGCCAGTAGACCAGATGGAATAATGCAATTTAGCCCAATGTTGAATGTTTTGAATTCTGAGGTAAACTTTGCTTGGGTTTAGAGTGTATTAAAGTTCTGGAGTTTCCTATCCATTCTAGGAAACCAGTGGAGCTTCATCAATAACAATCTTCAGTCACAGGGTTCAGGCAAAACTACCAAAGGCAGCAGCAGTCTTGATCGATTATATTCAAGAAAAATTCGGAAGCAACTCATACACCATAAGCAGGTATTACTTAATCAGTTGTCTGTATGTGAACTTTGTTTAAATTTTGTGCTCTGCTTAGTAATCTAGTACTTTGGCAAGTGTTAAAGCTATCATAGTATTTTTTGGTTCTCAAAATCAAAATTGCTAAGGCACCAATTGCAGCATACGTAGATGATATATGGGGTCACTCTAAATTTGCTGTACTTGGGAGAAAGAAGAGTATTTTTCTGCCAGTTAGTGTGATTTAGGAAAATGTTTGCTTAAGAAGGTTGATCTTTTAAGAAGGTTGGGCTGTGAAATAACAATGTAATCAGACTTATTTCAAATGGGTACCTCTGATGTGTTGTGCCAAGTGTTTGCATATAGTTTTTCACCTGTTTCTGCCCATGTGAGTTCCTGATTTTCACTGGCTGGTAATCAGATACTCATTCCCAGGGAGGGACAGTCAGTAGAATAGTTATTACAGGCATGCTTATGGCTGCATCAAGAGATGCATTTGCAGAAATCTTTGAGAAGATTGCCTGTAAGTACTTGCCAAGTTTTAGTGTGTGTTAATGGGATAAAATAAATGTCAGAGGAGCAACCTCGGAGGGGAAGAGATGGGAGAAGTTTAGAATACATTAAGCTTTAAATTAAAAACTGATCAGTGGTTTGTGTGTTTTGGGGTGTGTGTGCACATCAAACTGACTTTTGACTTAACCTTTTTTGCAGCAACTCAATTTGTTAAAAGCAAAACAAAAGGCATTAGTTGAGCAAATAGAAAAAGAGAAGATCCAGAGCAGCAAAGGATCTTCATATAAACTTTTGGTAGAACAGGCAAAGCTAAAGCAAGCTACGTCAAAGGTATGACGTCTGTTTTGTTCTATAGCTTAAGTGTTTAAAATGGTTGCTGTATTGTTGGTCCAGCACAGGACAATTTATTTTTGCAACAGGTTGCATTTTATATAGCACAAAAACTGTCACATGTGGTTTATAGAAGTGTAATCCAAAAAGAAGGAAGATGAGCCAAAGGAAGCCATATTAGGTAAAGTGAATCAAAGCCTTGTCAGAGAGTTCTGTTTTAAGTAGCAGAGAGTTGGGGTGAGGTTAATTTTTAGCGGTAGTATTCCAGAGTCCAAGGTCCAGTCTGCTAATGGCGTGACAGCCAATTGCGGAGTAGAGGATGCACAAGGTGTCTGAGTTAGAGGAGTAGAGAACTCAAGAAGAAGACTGTTGTGTGATTTGAGAGAGCTAGCAGTTTGGAGGGCTGAGTCCAAGAAAGGGAATCATACACAAGGAAGAAAATTTTGCATTTTAGATGCCGGGAGGATGTTGGCTAATGTAGCTCAACAAGGGCCACCAGGGATGATCACTTGAGTGGGATTTGATGTGAAGGAATGTGAATGGTGGGATGAGGTTGGGAAGCAGGCTGTTATTGAGTTTGGAGGTGATTGTTGTCGAGCTTGGGGGTGACCTTAGGAGATTGACTCATGGCAATGGTAGGGGTGGATTGGTGAAGTGATAGAGAGAATAATGGGATTGAATTGGACCCCGAGGTTGCTAAAATTCTGCTTTAGCTTGACTTGGTAAAGGAAATACATAGAGTCAGCAAGAGCGTGGAATTTGTGGCATGGGCTGAAGGTGATGGCTTTAGTCTTCACAATGTTTTAATTCTAACTCATTCAAGTCTGGATATCTGACAAATATTTCAGTAGTTCAAGAGTGATAGAAGACAGAAAAAAACTGGGTGACAGGAGAGTCCAAGTCGCTGCTAGCCCATGGGTGCGGGCGGTGTTGCCAAGAATTGGCGTGCAGTGAGCAAGAGGTGAAGGGATCAGGTTCGACCATTCGGATGCTCTGAAGGTAATGCTAATCTGGCTAAAATTCAAAAAAGTGAGGGTGATTTCGAATAACAAGGCAGTTCACTGAATTGGACAGCGACGAGACAGTGGAGAGAATGATGTGTTTGACTGTGTGGGAAGTCTACAGTAAGGACAAGGATGGATAATGCAGTAGTCATTTTGGGTGTAACTTTGGTTTAGGGCTACTTCAGTGCTATCACAAGTGGAAATCTGACTGATGAAGTTCAAACATGGAATTCAAGGAAGGATGAGCAATGAATGCTTTAAAAAGGAAAGTGTGTACAGTAAGTGTTCAGGGATCTTGAAGAGGATAGGGAACTGACATACAAGGGCAGAAGGTTCAAGAATGGGTTCTTGAAGTGTGAGATTGGAGTAGGGGAATGTCTGAGGTGAGGAAACCAGTTAAGGTATTGTTTTTTTTCTGTGGGCCAGGAAGGAAATTTGGATTAAGAGCAATTTAATGGGAATGGGACTATGGATATGGGATTAGGAGAGAAGAAAAAGGATGAGAGAAAATTGAACTTTTCATTTTATTATTTATATAGCTAGAACTTTGCTTTACCAATGGGTCTACTGCTAACTAAGATGTTGCTCAGGCCAGTTTAATTTCTAATTTATTGTGGAAATTGTATCCCTTTTTTTTCATCTTTCTCAATGCAGACAATTTCAGATTTTTGTCTCTTATTTCTATAACCTCAGTTGCATGCATGTAAATTCAGTAACATGGATTTAATTGAAAAGTTTATTAAATTTCATCTTAATATCAACCCCATACTAGCATTTCAAAGACCTCATTCGTTTGCGCCGGACTGCAGAGTGGCCTCGCACTACTTTAGATTCAGAATCGTCTTCAACAAAAGACTCCCCAGAAGTGGAACCCCTTCCGTTTACTTTGTCCCATGATCGCTGCATTGCTGTGGTTCAGAAGCTTGCACTTTTTCTTCTTTCCATGGATTTTACCTGTCATGCAGATTTACTGCTCTTTGTCTGCAAGGTGAGTAAACAATGAGGATGACTAAAGAAATGCCTTTGGAGTATAGAACTGGTATTCCATTAATTTATGCTTCATGAACTTTCTTAAACCTACAGTTTACCGCACCTTTCTCAAAGGTAAGTTTAAAATCTGCACTTTGCTATATAAGCTAATAGTAGCACTTAAAAGTAATCAGAATAAAACAGATTATCATACTTTACACACAGGAGTCCATTTGATTAATTGTCTCAAAAGAGTTGATCATTTAGTCCCATTTTTCTTGATTTTTCTTTTTTCAGATGTTTATCATTTCCCTTCTAGTTCTCCTGTACATTTAAAACATTCTCCTGAACTCTTTCTTGGTTCTTTTGTTGTTTTAGACTATGCCCTCGAGTTATCAATTTACTGCCTAGTGGAGTAAGTTTTACCTCGATCGAAAACAAAAATTAATTTTGAACATCTCTCCAAATTTCTCCACCTTTCTTTTCTGATGAAATAAACTCCTGTTTCCATTAGCTTTGTTTGGAACTTAAACTTTCTCAAGTTTTGCTGACTTGAAACCAAACAATCTAATGAAAAAAGCTAAAATGTAACAGACATTAAATATAAAAGGAAATCTAATAACTGTTCTATAAAAATCCAAATGTTTCATAAAAATGGTGAATATTGGCCTAACTTGTATAAAATGGTAGATACAATGTGGTATTTTAAAATATAAAGGTATTGTTTTCCCAGTGCTGATGCTATCATTTGATGTTAATATATCAGCTTGGGCTGGGTGGTGTGGTCTCGAGTAATACTGAAAACTTGGATTTTGGAAAGTTTATGCAACGTGCTGAATGAGTTGGGGCCCCCTGAGGCCTAGTTGGATGACTAGTTAAATAGACTCCAGAGAAACAAGATTCTACTGGTGATGTTATAACAACTTTGTCCAGAGAAGGCTTTTCATAGAAGTGAGAGAGAATTTGAGTGTGTGTGTCTGCAGTTACCAAGCGTTCAAACAATCTCTTTAAACAGTTTCTGGAATGAAGGAGAAGTCACAGGCGTTGGTCAATCACTGAGATTTATGAAAGACAATAATGTTTCAACTATATTAGGATTCTGTTGAAAGGTTGTGGAATTTCAAAATAGACACTTTTGAAATTGAAGTTTCATTGTGGAATTTGATTGGAAGAGGTGATTTCTCTCTACTGTATTGGGGAAAACTCGAGAGTAAAATAGACATTAGAAGGGAGGTTACTTTTGCCTAGAAAAATATGTAGTCACTATGTTTGTAGACCCAATTTAGATGCTGCCCCTTTGGTGATGGGAATCATTGTATTCGATTGGAGCTTTTTAGTTTGAGGAATTATAGGCTGATGATAATATTTTGCACATTTGAATGTGGGAAATATTTTTGGTAAATTGCGATAGCATCTTAGAAATACCTACATAGAAGGAGTCCCCTTGGCCCATTGTGCCCTACTTCTAACTGGTTGCTCTGTCAGAGGCTTTTTTTCTTACCATTTACCTGTTCTTTCTTCGTACCTTTCTAATGTTTTGGATAACATCTATTTGCCAATCTCCAGGGAATTTAAAAGTTGAGTTCTTTTTTGAATTCTGTTTCTTCCCCCGCACATTTTAACTCAAATTGCCACATGTACACATTCTTCAGACAACCCTCCCACAGTTTCTTCTGGCTCTGTTTATTATCTGAGCCATTTTCCTAAATTGTCTTGAGGCTAGCTGGTACCTGCCTCTGGCTTTGTCCATTCCCCCTTTTAAATGTGGTTGCACCATTCCTGTTGCTCAGTTTCTTTGCAATTTTAAATTTTTGAACGTTTTTAAGAAAATGCTAGTAACAGTTTCGCCACTAACCTCTGTCAGTTAAGCAGTTTTAAGGCTTTAAGCTCCAACTGATGTGTGCAAAGAAGGCAATCCACAGACTATAATTTGTTTTCTTTATTCCACAATCTTTTTATTCATTCCTGCAACCCAAAGTAGTACAAGAACTGAGACAACATTGAGTGGGTATAGGAAACATTTGCCTAAGTATTTGTGTGACGTTCAAGGTGTTCAAGTTATGCTAATATACATATTTGGCACAATGAAAAACATCTATGTAAAAAGCACATCTGAGATCTGTGTACTTGATATTTGAAAATTCACATTTAAACGTGAACTTCTATGACTGTGTGGGCGACATTCTCTATTTTCACTTTTAATCTGCTAAGAAGGAAAAAATGACTAGAGTTTCTGCTCAGTGATCTTTATCTTGTGGCAATGATCAAATTCCCTCTGTCTTCTCTTGTCTCCCACCACCGGCTCAAAGTAAAATTACATTCTGTATTTATGCAAATATGTTAGACTTGCACCCAATAATTATCATTGCTTCATTAAATTTAAATACAAAGGGAAAACATTCATTTCAGATCCCTCAGTATTTAAAGTGGCACCAGATAACAAGCATATATTCACAACAAATACTTCTAAAAATAAATATCTGATACACATCTGAATGCAGACAGCCATTATAAATAGATTTGCAGATAAATGATGCTGCTTAGCAATTGTTTGCATGTTTGTCTCTAACAGTTAAAATATAAACAAACTTTTAGCCTAAAAGGGAATCAGTTAGCTCAGTTGGCTGGATGGCTGGTTTGCACTGTAGAATGATACCAGCAGTGTGGGTTCACTTTCCGCATCAGCTGAGGCTACCATGAAGGACTCTACAGCTCGATCTCTTTTCTTGCCTGAGGTGTGGTGACCTTCAGGTTAAACCACCATCAGTCATCTCTCTCTAATGAGAGAACAACCTTATGGTCATCTGGGACTATGGCGACTTTACCTTTACTGTCTTAAATTATCAAATTGACGGTGTTCATTGCAATAGTAGTATCATTGAGTACACTACTTGTTTATTGAAAGATTTAAAATTGTTTACTTCCCACCCCTCTGCAGGGTCTTGCTCATCTCCATGTTCTTTTGTTGCTTTTTTTTCCTATTTGTGGACTATATTTGCCCCATCCTCTGGCCTCTCCCCGCAGTCTTATCAGCCCTGCCTCTCCCATATCTTCTGTTTCCCCTCTGTCTGGCATGTGGTGTATGTGGTCTTTTAGAAAAAGAAACAGCAGTACTTTGAGTTCTATTAAGTTAAGCTGGCTTTAGTAGATCAACAGAGGGAAGGCCGAATCATCAAATTTTAGAAATCAGTAAGTTGTTTATAGGTCTAGTATGATTTATTTTCCCTTTATCTGGCAAAATCTCTCTCTAAGGGCTGGGGCAAAGAACTAAAGAACAGCAGAGCCAGTCACAGCTTTCAAATAAGTTGTTCTTCATAAGCACTTTACTAGTTTAAGTGAGTTCATTTCTTTGATTCAAGACTCAACTTGTTAAAAAAAAAATCTGAAGTAATGTACTTGTCATGTGTGGATGGACTGGTTCAGAGATTCTGCTGTTTGTTGTGGGCTGGAGCGGTGGCAACAAGTAAACTTCTTGACTTTCTTGGCAGGTTTTGGCACGTATAGCAAATGCTACAAGGCCAACAATTCATCTTTGTGAAATTGTTAATGAGCAGCAACTTGAAAGACTTCTCCTTCTACTGGTGGGAACAGACTTCAACAGGGGAGACATCTCCTGGGGTGGAGCATGGGCCCAATATTCTTTGACCTGCATGATTCAGGATATCTTGGCAGGTAGGAAGCAAAAAACTGAAATGTTTACTCAAAAACTGTAATCCGATGTTCTTCTGTACTAAGCATTTGTATAAGTGTTTGAAATGTTGCAATAAAAACTAGTTCTCATGTTGTGATTGTATGGAGATGTGTATAGATGCACCCATATCACACGCCTTCTCCAGCTCAAGGTCACTGGTTTTTGGCATGTCATGATTAAAAATGCCAACTCTCAACATTCCTGCCCCATGGAAGCCTTTTAACCATCATTCATGCTTTTTTTCTTCCCTCAACATTCACATTTTAAATACTTTATCTTGCATCTTCTCTAGAACTTCTTTTGCTATGCGGTACCACCCCGGCCCCCATGCTTGCTCCAACTTTCTTTCTCCCAATCCCTTGCACTTTTTCCGTCTTCCTCTCCTGTTTCCTGTCGTGCGTGCTCTTGCCTCCTCTATTGCTTGCTCTCTCTATCTTGCCTACACCTGCCCCATTGCTTGTGCTGCCTCCATCGTGGTCTCTCACCTCCATGCTGTTTGTGCCTTCTCCATTGTGCCCCCCCACGCGCGCGCTCTCTCTCTCTCTCTCTCTCTCTCTCTCTTCTCTCTCCTTCGCTTGCCCCGCTCCTTCTTGCCCTCCCCGCCGCTCTTCCCTCCTTC